TCGCTGTGCCTGCTGTGGTCCCAGCCCATCCCCAAAGCAGCCCTAAGCAACACCCTCCCCTATCCTGAGTTAGTGGCCATTCACAGCAGCATGCACCGCCCTGGCCACCTGGCCTCACGAGTGCCTCTGGGCGCCCCTGCGAAGCCCCTCGCTGGGTCCTCTGCTCCCCGCCCATCCCCCGGGCCCTCTCGGCTGCGGGACTCACTTGGTACTCTTGCTTCTGCACCCTCTGCTCCGCAGGCCCAGCTCGCATTCCCTGGCCTCCCAGGATCTAGGCCCCCACTTGCCAGCCCCTCCTCTCCCCCCCGGGTGCCAGGGGCCGCCTGCCTCCAGGGCCCAGCTCCTCCCTGCCCCCGGGGGAGGGGGCACAAAGGGGCCCTTGTCACCACTGCTGGAACTGGGCAGCCTGACGCCTGGGTTCTACTAGCTCCTTCCTGGAGGGGATGGGAGGTGGCTGCCTTCCTTGTTCCCCCTCCTCCATCACCGTGCACCCACCCTGGTTGTGGGGCCTGAGAGGGCGTGCTCCTGTCTCTGGAAGTCAGAGGCGGAGAAGCAGAAGGCGTCCTCAGCTTCTAGGGCATCTTGGTGACAACGTTAGGTCTAACCCCGGTCTGGAGAGGCCACAGAGGGCAGTGTGGGCAGGAGGAGGAGACAGGACCTTCCCATGCTTGGCTTCAGTGTCACCTCCACCCTCTCTAGAGTCGCTTCCCTGGGTCACCTTTGGTGCATCCTGGTGTATTTTCTTCTAGGCTCTTCTTGCCATGGGAAATGACCTTATGTAACGACTGTCTCCTCTCGTGAGAACATGACCTCCAGGAGGACAGGCTTTGCCTGCTTATCCCCAATCTCTCCTGCTTCGGAACGGCTCCTGGCACAGAGTTAAGACAGAAACGTAGAGTGGGACATCAGTGTGTTCCTCGGATCCCCTGTGGCACTTCTGACTGTGGGCCTTGGCACTGCTCCTTCCTCCCGGAACGCTCCCCTGCCCCATCCCACTCCCCATGCTGATGGCCACAGCCTGCTCACCCTTGGGTTCCCAGCTTGGATGTCATTTCCTCTGGAAGCCTGCCCTGGCCCTCTCACCACGCCAAGCCCCTCTGTTTAAATGCTGCCCCGTCCTGCCATAAGCTGCTTCTCCACCAGCATGGGAGCTCCCAGAGGGCACGGTTTCTGCGTGTCTGTCTTGTTCACCCTTGTGTCCCTAGAACAGTGCCTGGTGCACAGAGAGTGCTCCCACAGTGGTCCTCCTGCCGCCCCAGCCCCTCCCATTGCCCATGACCTTTGCCGGGTGGTGGGGGAGCCAGTGGTGGTGTGATTAAGGGAACAGTGGGTTTGACCATGAACTGTTCGTCACACTGGGGCACGTTCTGTCCTCCTTCAGGCCAGAGCAGTGGGGAGGGAGGAGGCAGTGTCCTTTCTCCCGAGGGAGAACCCGGGGCAGGGAAATCCCTCACCCCCGGGGAGTGAGGAGTCAGAGCCTGCTGGAGGAGGGGGAGGGGAGTCCCACCCCCACCTCAGGCTTCATGATGTCAGACTCTGCCCGTGCCTTTCCCAGTCGGGACAAAGGCCCATTGAGAGTCGGGTGGGACTTGAACGCCTGGGTCCCGGAGAAGACGGAGTTGGGGGGACCTGGTGCCTGACCTTGGGGGAGACACCGACCAAGATCCTGGGTACTCATATGGCACAGCCCTCAGCATCAATACCAATCCCCTCGGGGTGATGTGCCTCTGCAGTTTGGGGTCCAGCTCCTCTCCGGGTGTGAACTGAAGGCTGTCCCTGGGGGACAGAAGCACTGGTGAGTGCGTCCCACAGAGAGCACTGGTGACTCTCCTGAAGTCTGAAATCTGCATCTCCAGACCACAGGAGGACCGGGGAGCACATGCGGCCTAAGGCGGGGAGCCAGCACCCAGCTCCAGCTCCAGGGTCGCCAGATCTTCCCGTCCTTCCGGACCAGGCAGGTGTGGTGGTTTGCTAAGGCTACTCTGACAAAGTACCCCACAGCAAGTGGTTTGAAAAACAGAGTTGAGGGGCTGGCACCGTGGTATAGTGGTTAAGTTTGGCCCGCCCTGCTTTGGGGGCCCAGGTTCACGGGTTCGGATCCTGGGCGTGGACCTACACCACTCATCAGCCATGCTGTGGTGGCAACTCACATACAAAATAGAGGAAGGTTGGCACAGATGTTAGCTCAGGGCCAATGTTCCTCAGCAAAACAACAACAACAACAACAACAAAAATCAAGTTGATCGTCTCACAGTGCTGCAGGCTAGACGTCTGAAGTCGCGAAGTTGGCGGTGTTGGTCCTTCTGAGGACTGTGAGGGAAGGATGTGTTCTAGGCCTCTCTCCTTGGCTCGTCGATGGCCATCATGTTCACACGGTGTTCTACTATATGTAGGTCTGTGTGTCTAAATTTCCCGTTTTGATAAACACACCAGTCCTATTGGATTAGGCCCACCCCAATGAACTCATTTTAACTTGATTATCTCTGGAAAGACCTTATCACTGAATCAGGTCACAATCTGAGGTACTGGGGGTTAGGACTTCAACACATAAATTTTGGAGGGACATAGTTCAACCCATAACAGCAAGAGTTCAGATTTTTATGTGAAATATCTTAGTTTTTAGGTATTAGCCCAATTTTATCTAAAACACTGCACAGACCAAGCAAAACTCATCTTAGGGTGGAGTCAAGCGCGCAGGCCAGCCTGGTTGATGCTCTCTGGAGTGGAGCTGGCGCTTGCTCCAACCACGAGGCGCTTGCTGCCCTCAGCCGGAGTTGGCAGCTTCACACTGGGAGTCCACAAAGCGTGGCCCCCAGGCCAGCAGCATCAGAACCGCCAGGAGCTTGTTAGAAATGCAGGTTCCAGGGCCCCACCTCAAATCTGCTGACTTGGACTCCAGCGATCTGCATGTTACCAGGCCCTCCAGGAGATTCTGGGGCGCTCTGAAGTTTGAGCACCTCTGCCTCTCGTCTCTCGGACCACTAGGAGAACTCGCTGAGATGGGAGAAGAGCACTCCAGGTCACGAAATGTAATTAGCAATCTCAGGTTTCCCACCTCCCAGGGATTTATTGAGGGGTCTGAGAGGCCTCCACCTTCCCCGTCCATTCTGATCCTTTACATTGATGAGCCATTTGAGTTTCCAAAACTGCATTACACTCGTCCCGTGTGGAGCAGCTCAACAGCTGGGGGAGCTGAGTCCTGTAGAGACTCTCCTCTCCTCTCCAGATGAGGAGGCGGGGATACAGAGCAAGAAGAAGATGGCTGCGAGATCCCGCAGCCAACAGGAGCCAAGCTCCCGGCCTCCCTTCCTCTCCCTCCCTTCAGGCTCCTCCAGCAGAACCTCTCCCAGAGGGGAGCCTCCCGCGGCTTCTAGGACGGGAGGTAGAAGCTGGTGGTGGACGGGACTGATCCGGCTCCCAGGTGAGTGTAGTTGGGTTCACAGAATGTTGATTCAAAAAATCAAATTGGGGGCCAGCCCAGTGGTGTAGTGGTTAAGTTCATGTGCTCTGCTTTGGCGGACCCAGGATTCACAGGTTCGGATCCTGGGCACAGACCTGCACGTGGCTTGTCAAGCCATGCTGTGGCGGCGTCCCATATAAAGTAGAAGAAGATGGGCACAGATGTTAGCTCAGGGCCAGTCTTCCTCAGCAAAAAGAGGAGGATTGGCAATAGATGTTAGCTCAGGGCTGATCTCCCTCACCAAAATAAATAAAGAAATTCCTTTAATCAGGTGCCAACATTTTAAAAATCAGGAAATTTCACCTAAAATAAGGATTGGCCCTTTCTCTGCAAAAGCAGCTCTAGCCGTCCGTGTCTGGCCGGCCTTTGGGCCTGGCAGCCGTCTCTGGAAGCCCTCTTTAGGTGGGGCCCCAGCCTCCCCACTCCCTATCTCCACAACACCGAGGCCAAGTGGCCAACACCCTTTATCGTCCTACTAGTGTTAGTGCTTTCTTATGGGCTTATAAGATAGTGAACTATATCGTGTATCTCTGTTTCTATCGCAAGGGGGACATCAGATAAATTGAGAGGGATACAGTTTTCAAGAAGAAGGGGAAGACACTGAATCCCTTGTGGAGGTAGACGGTATTCTCCTGTGTGTCTCACGTGCAAAGTGTGTCCTTATTGAGAGGTTATGACTTAAGATGCTCCTGTGAAGCAAGCCCATCCCCTCACTCCTTGACTGTCCTGTCTGGAAGGTCAGTGCTTCTCAGACTTGTCGGTCTCAGGACCCCTTTCTACTCTGCAGGATTACTGACGACTCCAAAAAGCCTTTGTTTATGTGGGCTGTATCTAGAGTTGCTCATCGTAGTAGAAATCAAAACGGGGAAACTGGTAAAGCACAAGATACACGAGCACACGATCCACTAGCCCTCAGAGCGGTGACTGCATCCCACGTCACGGGGCCTCTGGGAAACTCCCCCGCACACTCACGAGAGAAAAAGACACGTGACCTCTTGGTAGCTTCCACCTTGCGGAGCCCTGGAAGGAATCCCCGGACCTTCCTTGGAGAACTCTTGCTGGGCATGTGAATTTGTTACCCCTGTTTCCAGAAGACTTCAAGGATGGGAAATTTTGTTCAACTTTTATCTCCTGCTGTTGCAACATAAATTCTAGGTCTTTTTTTATTTTTCTTCTGCTGAGGAAGATTCACCCTGAGCTAACATCCCTGCCAATCTTCCTTTATTTTGTATGTGGCTCGCAGTCACAGCATGGCTGCTGGCAAGTGGTGTAGGTCCACATCCTGGAACGGAACCCCAGCTGCCGAAGTGGAGCGCACCAAACTTAACCACTAGGCCACAGGGCCGGCCCCAAGAAAAGAAATAGGTCTTTTGAAGTGGGGAAAGGAGGAGACGAATAGAAGTTAAATTTCCTTCACCAGGCTTCCTTGCAACCCCCAGTACACGCCAACCCCACACAGCCCACCGAGGACTGGCCCTGACAAGGCACGGGCCAGAAGGCATAGGCCTTTGACAGGTAGAAAGGGCAACAGAGACTCTGGTTTGGAAAACAAGAGAGAACAAGCCATTTTATTCAGAGACCATTCACAGAGTGCTGGAGGGGTAGGAATAAATAAGGAAGGGAGGCCTGGGCAGGGCCGAAAGGTTCTAGGTCTTGCAGCACCACCCACACTTCGATTTCTTGCAGCAGCCACAGCAGAGGGTGCAGATGGGGAAGTGGGTGTCCCGCCGCCTCAGCTGGTGGAGCCCGGGCTGCGGGAAGGAAGGGAGAGTGAGCAGGGCCTGGGCACAGGAAGGGGCAGGACACTCAGGACTCTCAGCTGCTCTCACCATCAAGCCGGCTGTAGCTCCCACTGTTCCAACTGTGTCCTGGGTCTGGAGGTCTGCAAGCTGCCTTGTCTGGAAAGCAGAAGGATATTGAGGATGGCAGGGCCCAGCAGAGCGCTCAGACTTGCCCCCCTGCAGCACCCCCCCCGACCCCCCACCCCGGGCAGCTGGTGTCCATGACTGGGCTGGAATCCTAGGAGGAGCCTTGTCTCCTGGCATCTCTCACCTTTGCATGGGAGTTACCCTTCCTACAGACGCCCTAGATTGGGCTCCCTCTCTCTCCGCTCCTGCTACTCCTCTTGGGGACATCACCCTCCCGGCCTGGATGCCAGTGCCGCCTGGGACGAGTTTCCCTGCCTCTTGCCCCTTACGTTGGGTCCCCCACGCCTCGTCAGTCCTGTCGTGGCTTTGTCCATTGTAAAGACTGCAAGGTTCCCCCTGCCCTTGGAGGAAAATCAGTATTTGCACAACTGCCCGTAACCACCCTGCGATCTCATCTCCAAGTTCATCGCCTTCCCCAACTAACCCCTGACCCTCGGGAACACCCTGCTCGCCCTCATCTCGGGTCTTTGCTTGCTGTCTTCTCTTCTCTTCCAAGACTTAGGGCAAATAGCATTCTCTCTCAAAACCCGCCTGCATGACTACCAGCCCTGCTTCCAGCTGGTGCCTCCCCGACCACGGGCACTCTACTGCCATCTTTTATGTTATTCATGGATAGCATTTACTAAACACAGTTTAGTATCTTATGTTTTAATTGTTCATTGACTAATTCCCTGACCAGATGTAAGCTCCATGAGAGCGAAAATCTCCTCTCACCTTGTTCATTGCTGGCTCCCCACTGGCTGGACCAGGACTTAACACAGAGTAGGTACTCGGTAAGTGACTGTGGGATTAGTTCGGGACCCCATCTCTGTAGTTTAAGCAGCCGCCCGGCCCCCTTTCCCGGCTGCCCTCAGCAGTCCCCTCCCAGGGCCTGGCTCTCCAGTCCCCGCTGCCCTGCTGGGTCGGGCCCCACGGGCTCTCACCTGGTGCGGAAAAACCGAGCCAGTGGTCAGGCTGGCCAGGAGAAGGAGCAGCAGACAGGCAACCCGGATGTGCGCGTTCAGGACCATTGTGCCGTCCGTCTGGCTGTCCCGCTCTTGGGTCTAGGACTGGCTCTGGTGTCTGGGGCCCAGTTTCACTTGCTTTTATGGGGACTGCTGGGGGACGTGGGGGTGCTAAGCCCACTCCCCTTTGCCCTAACTCATTTCCAAGAAGGTGGTGGCGCCGAAAAGGCGGGAGAGATAAGCGGGAACACAGTGACAGGGAACAGGGTTGTGTCACCCTCAGCCGGCAGAGGTGTGTCCAGGGGGTGGGGCAGAGGGGCCGCAGACACATGTCTCTGGCCAGCCACCTGAGAAACACTTTCCCCGACATGACATCACCCTGCTGGTCTCAGAAAACCACCCCCCTTTGGCTGCTGAAGCTGAACAGGTCCATGAGAAGGAGCCATTCCCCACCCTCCCTGATGTCCCCATTCATGTGGAGGGTGGCTGTCACTTACTGGGCCCTCAGGGTGCCCAGCAGATCCCCCTGCTTTGGGTTCTCTTTGCACACGTGTGGATTCTGGTGGGGAACACCCGGGCAGCCAGATACAGGAGTTTGTGTTGGCACGTGTGATGTTTTCTAAGGATCAGAACAAGTATCGGATGTGGCCCTGTATCTCGAGAATGTTCCTGCGAACTTTGGACCATAAAAGATCGCGGCCACAGTCATGCTAACATCTGACGGCCCTGTCGTGTTGCCAGCAGATGTTTTGACTCACTTTTGCGGTAACTCCGCTGGCCCGCCCCTCCTCTGAGTGGCTCTGGCCTGCTGGGCTCTGCTCTGTATCCAGGGGCCCTCACTACCTTCTCAGCTGCCCCAGACGCCTAGCTTCCCAGACCCTGTCCCTCTTAGGAGCCCACCATGCCCACCTGAGACTTGTTTTCTTCACTTGACGGGGAACTGAAGGAAGAGATGGGGGTAGTGGCGAAGCTTGCCCAGCCAGAGGCAGAGCTGGGATTCCAGCCTGGGCGGCCTGACTCTGTGGCCTGTGCTCTCCTCACCAGCCTTTCCTGCCTCCCTGAAATCACAGGAGGCACAGTGGGGTGTGCTGGAGCTGGCTCCTACCAGGTCAGTGGAGCCGACTGTGCACAGCTCGCCCCGACTGTGCATTCAGCGGCATCGTGTTGGTGCCTGAAACGAGCAGCAGTGGAGCCTCTACACCACAGACCTGGGCCAATGCTGCACAGCTTTGTTTTGGAGAGCTGGTTTCCCCACACCCCCGGATGGGGAGAGGACCGCGGCTGCCTGCCTGTGGCAGCCTCACTCCTGTCTACCACCTGAACATCTTAGGGTGCACACGGCCCAGGGGAACCACACACCTGGACTCGAGAGTGGGGCCTTTGGTCATTTTGCCTCTGACTCACTCGAGGGCCATCTGGTGTCAACCCCACCACTGGAGCCTGGGGACCATGCTGCCAGGGAATGAACACTTCTTCCCGACCCCAAACCACTGCCAAGACCCACTCAAAACCACAAAAATGGAGGTGGGGGAGTGAAGGGCATTCCCTGCCACCTGCTTCCCCGTTTGCTCCACACTTGAGGATCCCCCTGCCGCATACACCTTCCCTCTCAAAGACGGCTTCAAGCAGAGGAATGGCCGGGAAAACGAGACAGGGCTCTCAGAGGGATGAAGAGCCCAGTTGGGGGGCATCTGGGGTGGGACAGGGTGGAGAGCTCAGCAAGGTGACCAGACTGGCAGGCCTGGCTCTAGGAGCGGATGGAGGAGCACAGGGGCTGTGGGTCGAGGCAGGCTGCACGCCCGGCCCCAGGGAGACACGGCAGCATCCCCCAGCACTGCCCGGCATCACTGCATCTCCGATCAGGCCAGGTTTCATCATCAGCCAGGGGCAGGGGTCACAGCACAGGCGCCAGAGCCTCAATGCAAGGCGACAGGCTGACGGGCCAAGCCTGGCTTCCTGGCCATCTGCCCTTCCTGGGGGTGGGGGGCTCAAGGCCAGGCCCCACCATTGGCTGGTGTAAAGGGGAGGGCTGCAGCCCTGAAGGGCAGGGCCAGGAGCCAGTTCTGTTTTTAAGAACTGGTGACATGGGAGACCCCAGCCTCTCCTCCAAAAACAAGGGACATGCCCTTGACCCCAGCACCCCCCGCCCCCACACCACAGACACACACCTGGGGCCTCAAAGAGGATATTCCTTCCTTAACACCTCCGCCCATCCAACAAACAGACCGGGTGCCGGCGATGCAGGATGGCAGGGCTGGTACACAGCCACCAACACCACAGCTGGCGCCCTGCCCATTCCCCAGGCCCCCTCCCCACACCTGAGATGAACAGATACACAGACAGACAAGGCGGGGCCACATGGGGCCAGTTTATTGCAGTTAAATACCTCTCTCTCTCTCTCTATTTTTTTGTCCATTTTTCCATAAAGAAAATTAAAACACACACTCACCCAAAGGGGAGCAGGGATCCAGAAACAAGAGGTGGGGTGGGACACGACCTCCCTGCTTAGGTCCAGGCCCCAGGGATGGCCCCCCCAAAGGGTCCCTTCCTTCCCGTAAGCACCCTGTCTCAGTACCTCTAGAGATCAAGGAGGCAGCGGGATATGGCAGGGCCTCCGTCCTCGTCCCTCTCGCCTCCGGGCGAGACCACTGCTGGGGCTTAGTGGGGGCCGGGAGGGGGAGACAGACAGATGGGGGCGGGAGGATATCATTTCCAAGTTGAGGAGAGCGGTGGGCGCTTATCCACAGAAATGCATGATTTCTCCCTGTTTTTGTTAAAAATCTACTGTAAAAAAACGCAGCTGGGGGAGGGGCATCTGTCCCTCTCTGTGCTAAGGGCTGGGGCAGGGGACAGCCGAGGCCGGAGGAGGCCCCGCTGCACGGCAGGCCGGGCGTCACTGCCGCGTGCTCTCGCCCACCATCTCCAGGTTGTGCTGCTGCAGCTGGGCGCGAAGCACGGCGTTCTCGTTCTTCAGCTCCTCAATCTGGCAGACACGACAGGCCACAAGGAGCCAGGGGCTGGCTCCCCGTAGCTTGGGGTTCCTGGGTCCCCCTGGCTCCCGGCCCTGGCCCTCACCTGTTGCCTCAGGAGCTCATTGTCCATCTGCAGCCGCTCGGCCTCCTTGAAGGTCTCCTGCATGCGCTGGTTGGTCTGGCGCAGCTCCCGGATGTAGTCGCAGGCCTTCGACAGGATCCCCCCTTTACTCTAGGGGGTGGGCGGGAGCATTAGCCAGCACTGCCCGCCGGCTCGCCCCGGGACAGCTCCTGCGCCCAGCGGTCAGGCGGACTTTGTGGAAGGGCTAGGGGACTGGGCCCTGCGGCACGGAGGCCGAGGTGGGGCACTCACCGCTCCCGTCTTGCTGTTGTCTGCATTACAATCTGGAATGATTTTTGAAAGCTGGACGATCCAGTTGTTGATCTTGTCTCTCCGCCTCCGCTCCACTGCAGGAACAGCAATAAGACGGCTGCGTTTACACCCCTCCCGGGCGCCCAGGCGAGGCCCTCCTGAGGCCGGTGCTGCGGGACCCCAGGGCGCTGAGGCACAACGCAGGCCCTGCCCAAGATCACGCCGCCAGCCAGCGCAGCCAGGCAGCCGGCTTCCACACCCGCGTCACAGTGCTCCTCAAGAGGAACAGAGACATTCTCACCCTCGAGGCCCCCACACACCCCTTGGGCAGAATCGACAGCTGGGGACCATGGGTTCATTTTGTTTACCCACCCAGCATATTTTAAAAAATCTAAGCTAAAATGTGAAAATGAGGAAATTTCACAGAATAACTGGCAGCTTCTGAAAAGTGGAGTTGTGGCTACAGTGGGCACAAATTCTCAGGAGGCAAGAATGGGCCGGAGCCCCTTTACACAGGCCCCGAGTGCCCCCTCTCCGGTCCCCACAGCCTGTGCACGTGACTCTCCACAGTCCTCAGTCTCCCCAGAGCCCTGGGCCCCGGATGCTGTTTGTCTCTTCATCTTTAAACTCAGCCTGACCACTGCTCACCCTGCGCAAACCCTTCTCCAGGGCCCCAGCAGCAAGGCCCAGCCCCCTTGGCTGGCACCGGCGGCTCTCAAGGGCCTGGCCCATCAGGCTACCGGGTCACCTGGGAACAACAGGAACCCTACCTAGAAGGCCAGGGATTCCAAACTAATGGAAGATTTTACTTGAAAAATCCTGTGATTTTATTTCATAAAACGCCATAACCTTTCTCTGTCGGCCAAGCTGAGAGGCAGCTGCCCCCTTGGCACAGGGCGCATATCTTCTCTCGGCTCCTCATCCGGCCCGCCGCATGACCTCATGACAGTGGTCTGGGGTCTGGGTGCACTGCAGCCCGAGACCCCTGGACGGGGCCTATGGAAGCAAAGCTGTCCCGGCCCTTCCTTCCCTGCCAAGCACAGTCCCAGGCACTGGTGGGGACCCCCAAGAAAGCCCAGTTACCCCCCAACTCTCACCCTCATCCCCCTGCCAGGACAGCTCATGGACAAATGCAGGCAGTGTCTGTGGAAGAGGGGGGACTACTGGGTGTGTAGGTGGGATTTGGAAAGGAGGGCAAAGGGGTATTTTCTCAGGGTTGGGCGGGCTGCTGGGAGACTGCGGAGGGTCCTGGTGAGAGTGAGAAAGGAGGGTGGGCCAGAAGCATGCCCCTAGCCCTTCCCTCCTCTGAGGCGAGCACCCCCCACCGGACCCTGCTGTTCCCTCAAAGAACGCACCAGGCCACTAACAGGCACATCTCCCGTCTTCTCTTGGCACCTGGTTTCGTCCACTCATGGCTGACCACCTCTTCCCCACCTCCAATGGCTCCCACTTGGGCGGGGGTGACAACACCCTCCTATGCGCACTCTCCTCCTCCCTGGCCCCTCTTCCTTCCTCCATCTCCTCTCCTGCCACTGAGAGCTCCCCAATACCACGAGAATGGTGCTCAGTCCTGAGCTTCGCCTGCCGCAGGCCCCTGGGGTCAGTGACAGCTCAAGACCTGGGCCCCACTGTTATCGGGGTGACCTGAACCTTTCTGTCAAGGACAGCCACGTCTCACAGCCTTTGGGAGCTCTGTGGCCAAAAGCAGCAGAGCCAAGAGTCCAGCCCAGGCCCGGTGGCACGGCCCACCGACAGTGTCCCTCAGCCGCGTGCTCCCTTCCCAAGGATTCAACTCAGGAACCAGACAGACAGCACGCAGCCTCTCGGTCTCTTTCTCCACCCTCACAGCCCCGCAGTCTGAGCCGGGCACCGTATCTCACATGTGCAC